ATTAAACTTATATATACATGCTATACCTTGCTATACCCGCAACCTCCGTTCCAGCTGAGAGGGTCTTCTCTACAGCTGGCCTGATTGTGAATCGCCTGTAGGCCTATAGCTGTCAAACTGCGATCACCAGTTCAATACATTTGACAAATTCAACTTGGTTTCTACACTTATTTGAACATGTATGTATTTATTTCCAAAAATTATTGAAAAAAAAAATCTTTTTGAAAATCTTTTTTTACCCAATTTTTTTTTTTATAGGATAAGTACATTTCGTTTAACCGGTTAACCGTTTTTTGGGGGGATCGAATATTCGAATATACATTTGCTTTCAAATTCCCATCCCTAGTGATTATGAACGTCCGCCTCGTGGGACAAAGTGTGTGTTGGTAAGAAGATAAGTTTACATTTAAATATAATCTCTTTCTAAGCTTCAGAGTGAGATGAGACTCACTCAGTGTTTCTCTGTCTCTAACCTGCTTCCTGACTCTGGAGAATAAAGTTCAGATTACTGGACCATGAGGTCAGCAGCTGTTGGCCAATCAGAACGCTTGGTTACCTGCGTCATGTGATGCGAGTGCGCGCAGCATCTTGCCGGCGCTGCGCCTGGTCTGCGTCTCCTTGTTGCAGAGCAGCTCCATGAGGAGGTGCAGCGCGCCCGTCTCCTTGAACACGCCCACCAACGAGCCGATGGCAGCGTAGGCGCTCAGCACGTGCACCGTGTGCGTGATGCTGATGGAGAAGTCGCTCTTCTTCAGCATCTGTTTCCGGGCACGCCTCACCAGGTTCTTCACGTCCTCCTTCATGTCGGACAGCTCCCCCTCGTCGAAGGTGTGGTCTGGGGGGAAGTCCTCTCTCTCCTGATTGGCCTCCTGGTCCTTCCTCTTGCCCAGCAGAGAGGGGCAGTTACAGTACACGTCCTCCAGGGACATCCACATCAGGACGTTCTCTGCTTTGCTGTCTGACCCAGAGCCGCTAGCCCCGCCCCCATCGCTGCTAGCCCCGCCCCCTTCACTGGCCCCGCTCCCGGTGCCGTCGTCTATGGTGACCAGGCACCAGCGAATCAGGTACTCCATCTGGCCGTCATGGTTACGGCGCTGTCGGAGCAACTCCTCTGGAAACGCTTGCAGACGAGGAGCCAGCTGAACCAAGAGGTTCCCCCCCCGCCGCTCTGACATCCTACCTGAGAGAGAGAGAGAGAGAGGGTTACACACACTATACACACATACACACTATACACTACACACTATGAAGGAACTACAGCACGGTCACATGACTTGACGTCACCACCGCTAAGCTAAAGGAGGCTAATGTTGGGCTATAAAGGAACTACAGCACGGTCACATGACTTCACGTCACCACCGCTAATGTTGGGCTATAAAGAAAAACAAACAGTGTTATTGTTCAGTTTGCAGACTCACTTCCTCTTTCTGAATAAACCAGGCCTTCTTTCACTGAAATATGCCACCAGCTGCAGTCTGATAACTCATACCTGTTCTCTCCTTACGGTTCAGATACTGTTCTCTCCTTACGGTTCAGATACTGTTCTCTCCTTATGGTTCAGATTCTGTTCTCTCCTTATGGTTTATATACTGTTCTCTAATGGTTTATAAACTGTTCTCTAATGGTTTGTAAACTGTTCTCTAATGGTTTGTAAACTGTTCTGTTCTCTAATGGTTTGTAAACTGTTCTCTAATGGTTTGTAAACTGTTCTGTTCTCTAATGGTTTGTAAACTGTTCTGTTCTCTAATGGTTTGTAAACTTTTCTCTAATGGTTTGTAAACTGTTCTGTTCTCTAATGGTTTGTAAACTGCTTCTCTAATGGTTTGTAAACTGTTCTGTTCTCTAATGGTTTGTAAACTGTTCTCTAATGGTTTGTAAACTGTTCTCTAATGGTTTGTAAACTGCTCTCTAATGGTTTGTAAACTGTTCTGTTCTCTAATGGTTTGTAAACTGTTCTCTAATGGTTTGTAAACTGTTCTCTTGTCAGTAAACACCGTGTTTTTGCCGCGGCTCCTCTCGGTTTCCTCCCCGGCTCTCTGGAGCTGTTTCCCGGGAGGCCTCGGGTCTCCTGCCCGGGGAACAGCTCCAGAGAGCGGGCAGCTGCGGTGCTCACCTGCCGGGGAACAGACGTCTCTCTGCGGCCAAAGCTTTCTCTTCCTCCCGGAGGCTGGAGGACCAAAAACTGGAGAAAAAGAGTCCGGAGCTCCGAGCTGCTGGTGCATCTGTGAAGGGAGGATTCTTCTTCTTCTGCGGGGAAAGAGAGCGGGTGGAGCCCCCTGCTGTACGGAGGGTGTACGGAGGGTGGAGCCCCCTGCTGTACGGAGGGTGGAGCCCCCTGTTGTACGGAGGGTGTACGGAGGGTAGAGCCCCCTGCTGTACGGAGGGTGTACGGAGGGTAGAGCCCCCTGCTGTACGGAGGGTGGAGCCCCCTGCTGTACGGAGGGTGGAGCCCCCTGCCGTACGGAGGGTGGAGCCCCCTGACGTACGGAGGGTGTACGGAGGGTGGAGCCCCCTGCTGCACGGAGGGTGGAGCCCCCTGCTGCACGGAGGGTGGAGCCCCCTGCTGTACGGAGGGTGGAGCCCCCTGCCGTACGGAGGGTGGAGCCCAAGCCCCCAGGAAGTGCGTCGGACTCTGATGAGAATATTCTTAGTGGCCAGACGGCGGTACTACACTTCCGTTAAGTTGCTGGGCCCGGAAACACTTTTTCCCATTGACTTACATTGGGAAAGATTTGTCTGTAAATCGTTGGATCATTTTTTTAAACTAAATAAACTACCCAGTATGAACACTTGTATAGCCCTTATTAAAAACATTCGGTCCTCAAGTTGTAAAATGTGCTAATAACGTTATTCTGAGAGCTATTTCCCTCGGCATTATTAACGTGCATCTAACCCACGGGACCGCGCCGCCCGACACGTTCATGTTACGTGTTCAGTACTACATGCGTTAGGGTTATCTGTAACAGGGTTGAGTGGGTCAGAGTGCCACACCATTTTAAGACTGAAAAGATTGTAAAAATATGAAAAATAAAAGAGAGGACTTAGTTTTGGTCTACCCATGGCACTAGCACATGGCTTGCAGATGTCACTTCCACTGTGTCATCTTACTTACAGTTTTTTCACTTCCTGTGCCAATCTAAAAAGGTTTGGGTAACAGGGTTGAACCTGAACGCATGTTGATGGACACACCTTCTGTGCAAAATTACTGTTATTTAAAATATGTTTATGATTTAACATATTGATTTCCTGTCTGCGTATGTGCATGTAGCTAATTTATAGCCTAGGGTGTATTATATTATACTTAAACAGGTAGCTTAATAGCTAA